ACCAGATGCCTACCTATCAGCAGCACAGAAATGAATATATGAAAAAAAAAAATGCAGGGGTGGTAGTAGGTAAAAAGAGACAAATCCTATGTATAATTACTCTCTTCATGTTTCTCTACTTGTCCCTGCCATGCTCTTCTAGTTATCTGGCTAAAAAATCTACCTTCTACTCCATCTTCATGGAGTAGGAGTTAAAGGATGTTGGATGAAGAGACTGACACTTTCTCTGAAAAAGTATTGGTAAAAACAAAAGTTTACTTTGAAAATAAGTTCCAAGGACACAGTGAGGACACAATCTGTCTATTTCATATGCCTAGAGGGCAAGTTGCAATCTTCAGAACTATCTTTCAGTGATCCCATTAAATATTTGAGACATAAAAGGTGAAAATTGTCATGCAGTAGAAGTGATTACTGTGAATGAGTCGGTACCCTACCTCATGTTATTTCTTTGCTACGATTGTCATTTCAACACACTCTTACATTTGCCCACCTTACCCTAATATGTCTTTTTTGCATTTGCCCCTCTAATCTCTAACTATTCTGCCTGTGCATAGATACACAGTATTCTATTCTGAAGATACCCTTGAAAACCTTCCCTTTCCACAACAGCAAAGGCTTTCTTTTTTTTTTTAAGCAAAGGTCAAAAACCAGAGCCAGTAATTTCCTCCTGCCTTCCAGTCAATCAGGACACTACATACTCTGCTTTGCTCTCTAGAAAGCTGTAAGAGCTGCTTCCAGTCTAATGAGCAAAAGCAGATTTTTTGAGAAATGACCAAGCTAAGCAAACTACATATGGAAGAGCATGATGGCATCAGCAGCAGAAAATAACAGTGGGGAGAAAATATAATTTTTTACATTCTTCATGTAGAGTACTGAGGAGAGCAACTTCAGTTTCTACATCAGTCAGTGTACTATGAGCAAACAGCATCTGTTGAAACTGGGTTCTAAGTATGAAGGGAAAACACTTGATAGTTATTGTCATGTGGGAAAAATAATTGGATCTTTTTACTTCGTAAAAAAAAAAAACAAAAAAGAAAAAAAACAGACAACTTTTTGTGCTGGAAGAGGGAGCAGGAGAAAAAGAATACCAAAGGGAGAAGAGCAAGCAACAAAGCTATAGGATGATGTAAGTACAATGAAGAGGGAGGTGATGAGGGAGTAAAAGTAACTATAACACGGGGGTGGATAAAAGGAGAAGATACAAGGAAGAGTACTACAAGGGAAGGAAGAAAGTATGTTAGTGGCCATTGATAGCATTTGGTTTTGTATTTCGTGCTTATTACAAAAAGATTATATTTAATTACTTTGGACTGATTAAAGACTTAGAAAGGTAAATATTTTGATAACACTAGCTTTCATGCTAATTTAGCAACTGTTACTAGATAGGAATTTGTGGTCTTGCTCCTCTGAATGCTAAGTTCAGTTATCATTTGCTCATCCAGGTTAAAGAAGTTTGCAACAACTCTGTTTCCCCACAGAGTATTGAATCTGAGTTTATCATGCACTTATGAATGAAAGCCCAATTTAATGAGGAATTGGGTCTGCTGTGCTCATTAAAGAAAACAGCAAAGCTCTAATGACATTATGACCCAAGTTTGCTTTATTCCTAAAAATCTTGTCTTTAAAAAAAATCTGTTTTTTTCCCACCTGGTTATTTCTTTGCTGTGTTCCTAAAGTACTTAGAAAGAAAATGAAACGACTTACTTACACAACTCTTTTTTCTTTTCTTTTATCTCTAGCAATAACAAACTAGAGAAAAATCAGTATGGATGCTTATAAGGTCTCACACAATGAAATAAAAGCCTTAGGAAATTTTTTCTTCATTGAAATACCAGGTTTTATCATACTTCACAGTAAATACAGTGTCATGAAAAAACACAATATAATTTATTTTCCTTTTTTTCCAAGACTGAAAAAAAAATATATTATATGAAAGTTCTCCATTTGAATTGAAATTCAGGAATTAATAGGTTTTGTTATGGTAGTACCAAAGAAGAAACCAATCATTTAACCTTTATATATCCAGTTCTGAGACTCTCAGTTTGTATGTCACAGTTTGTACAGCAGACTAATTCCCATGGATTTGCCTGTGTCAGTTTTTAAAAAAACTTCCAAGTTCCTTGATTTCTCTAACAAATTTTATTCATTTTTTCTAAACTTATTTAAAGTGGGACTTGACAGAACTTAAAAACACATTAAAATGCTTTATTGGTTCAGTGAGGTTTCACTTCCTATTAGTTTTGCAGCTGTCACCATTTTGTTTCTAACCCTCTTAGATTAAAGAAGGCATAGGAGTACCTGTTACTGAGATAATGTCCTGAGCAAGGTCGTATGTTTCAGGCTGATTAAAGCAGTTGTGTCAGGATGCTACAGACTGGGTGTTCCCAAAACAACAATGCAGTTTGCCTACAACATTATTTATTTCTTTTGTGGAAAGGCTGTTCTTTGTCTGGCGGGAGTAAGGCTGAAAGAGAGTTGCAGCACAGCTAGTACAGCTGACCAAGCTTTTTTCCTGGTTCTCAAAGGAAAATGAAAGGGTAAAAAGCAGACCAATTTGGATTGTGTCATGAAAATGGCCTCTCACATAACCTTTCACCAGCAAGGCTTGGCTTGAATAGACAAAGCAGCAGCCAGCATTCTGGGAGTTTCTTGGTATAGCCTGTGTTGGGGCAAGTCTTAAAAATTTCTCTTATGTCAGATAAACAGTGAATCATTCCTTGATTCATCTGAAACTTTGTTTTCAGTTATGAAAAAAAACACTATAAATCGTGCATGCCCAGTGGGTCAGGTCAAAAGATTGATATCTTTGTATTGCTTTCTGAAAAATCATTTGATCCGTTTTTTTCTTTTTCCTTTTTGAAGGTGCTCTGACAACACCTTTTTGGTTCTAAAAGGTTGCCCTCACAGTGATTTTGAATGAACCAGGGTCTCTGTGAGATAACAAACATTCAAGAATTTAGTGAAAGCATCCCTTACATTATCACATTATTGCTGTAGTATATCTTTTGGGAAACTGTTAAGCCAGAATTATTCCCTGAATCTACAATAGTTCACAGTGGAAAAAAAATTTTCCATATGCTGCTTTACAATATGGGACATAACTATATATGTAGCAAAATGTTTCTGAATTTTTTAACCTCAGAGAAATTTTTTTTGAAACTTTTGATGATGTGGCTAGAAATAGAGGGAAGGAATGTAAAGGAAGGGAGGAGGAGGATGAGGAAGTCACAGCTAGCCTTTCTGTAACATTTAGGATTTCAGTGGTGTTCAGTAACTTCCACTGTTGACATGCTTACTTGTGCTAGACAGCAGTAACTAAAACGTCAATTGATTTTTACAGCAACCTGATCCAGTACTCTGGCATTCAATGCAGGCCACATTCAGCAAAAAAAATATAAACAGTGTAAAGGTAAATCACATTAGTACTTACACGACCATGATGAAATGGGAAATTCTGTTTGTCTTAAGGTACCAAACTCCAGCTTACTTGCTCTCCTCTGGGGCATTAAAGTCACATATACAGGTATGGATCTGATTTTGGAATTGCTTCCTACCAGCCTTTGTGCAAGCTCGCTCCCCACCTGCAGGGGATGGTGAGCCAACAGGCAGAAGTGATCCCACTGAAGGGACCAGTGCTGCTCATGCTCACATCCCAGGGGTGAGCACACCAGCTGCAGCAAGGTAGGAGGTAGGCAGTGTAATTGCATTAGTGAAGTGCTTTTACAGAGCAGTTTGCTGTGCCTGGCACCATACACAGGGTTGCAGCTGTGTGGCCCTGCGCTCCAGGAGCCTCCTCGGTCAGGCTTGGAGTCAAGCAAAGGTGGCTTTGCCAGACTGATGGTTAATGGCAAGCCCATGGTCAGTATTGAGTTGCCCCATGCTTGTTGCTGCATAGGTATGTACTTTGTGGGTTTCTGTGTAAATAACACTGGACATCTGAGCATCACCACTGCATCCACCAGCACAGACCAGGTCAGTTCTGGTTAAAAAATCCAAAGGGCCAATGCTGATTCAGATGCGACCTGCACAGTGCAAGTGCTTCACCCGACTCACCACAGCAGTGCAGGCTACTGGGGTGGGAGAGGAATATTTCTTCCTTCTTCTTTACCTCCAACCCCCTCTGCCGTAAGTGGGGTATTTTGCCAGCCTCTGTTTAATATGCATACTTCTACCTTGGCTGTTCCCCAGGCTCAAGTGAGTGCACTAATTTCCTCAACGAAGGACTTGTCTAAACAACGTGGTTTGGCTGCTTTAACAGGTGTTGTTCAAGTGCTAAATTCCCCTAAGCCTCATACAAGCCTTAGTACAAACATCACTATTGGGGAAGCAATATTTGCTTTAAAGCACCTCTCTAGGGCTGTGTACCATCATCCACAGTAGCATGGAATAAAAGAGTGGTAGGTTAAGCTGGCAATGGATTTGGGCTGTGTAACCCCTTTTAGAAAACAAACTTGTCTGTGATGGTTTTATAGAAACTTAAATACTTGTGAGGGAAAAAGTTGATGGCAGGACAGTTGACGTCCAGACATACGTCAAGCTACTTAATTATTTCCTGATAGGTTTCTTGTCCTAGTGGTCTGAAAGTGTCCAGGATGTTTGGTGATGTCTTGCTGATGTACAGTGACTTGGTCCTTTTCCTGGCCCATGTCCTTTCCTGCAGACTGCAGTGTTGTAGACATTACTCCTGTGCAGGGTGGTTGTTATAAACTATATTTACTGGCTAAGATATTAAAAGATTCATCTCCACCAGAGCACATCTACTAGAGTAATAACGCTGACAGAGCCCCTAAGCACTATAGTAACCATTCCCTCAGCCTCTGCATCTGAGAAAGCTGTGGCAAAGCAAGGCATCTGTAACTATGTCCACAGCAAGGGTTCTGGAAACACAGGTGTCTTGGTCATGCACTGCTGTATTCTTTCATGCCCCTTGCTAAGCCTGTGCTCTTCGGAATAGCTTGAGAAGCTCCAGCTGCGGGGTGCATATTACCCTCTACTATGCTGGCAAATTTGTTTTTTTTTATACTGAAGTCTATACTATATTAGCTGGATAATTATCACCAGGGCTGGTGAGCTGGCCTCTTTCACTTTCCTCTGGCTTCACTTGCAGAACAAAAGGGGTTTGCTTCCCTTTCTCCTGGATAGAATGTCCCCCATGCCCCCCCCCCCCCCCCTTTCTGTTACTGATCTTGACCACAAACTCTAAAACTTTCTGGTGCTTTATTCCCTCCCTCTCTTATTCATTATTTGCTTTGGATCACCGCCCTCCTTACAACTGTCCACAGACTCATCTCCTTGGAAACAGCAGAAGTTGTTTATGTGAAAGTCATAGGGAAACTAAAGCAGCTGCAGGTGTGCAAGGGAGCCGTGTTCCACTGGAGGGTATAGGAAAGGTGGGTCTCCACTTATTCTGACTGACAAAAGGTTAGATGGCTGAGGAAAACCCACCTTCTTCCTCAGGAGTTTCCCAAGTTGCCTTCCTCTGTTCACAGAAGTGGTGCAAAGCTCATTGCATGCACATGTGTGCATTTATATGGACCCTTTTTTGATCGTTTTTCATCACCAACGTGTAGGGGTTGAGAAGCAGTGGAAATTTGGTGAGTCTTGCTATTTATTATTTTGTGGAACACCATGTTGGTGCACCATACCGTGCCAGGCCCATCTCCTCTCCTGTCTTGACCCTGTAACCCCCTCTGCGGCCACAGGACTTTCCCATCCATACCTTGTGATTTCTGCTGCTCCCTGCTTTGTGCCCTCCACTGCCACTGCCACCTGTGCTGTTGGAAATGGCTGGTACACTTGCCCGGCCTAGCGGGCTGTTACCGATCGGCTGTCCATGTGCGGTGTTTCCCAGTCCTCCAGGACAGAGCTGTGCAGGCCTGTGAACAGCCTGTGTGGGCACAGATGTGGCAGGGTCACCAGCTGGTACCTTTTGCCAGTGATGGTGGCATGCCTGGCTGCCTGCAGTTGCAGGCAAGCAGCCTGGGCTCGGGCAGGAAGACAGCAGGGCCCCATGGGGAGAAGGTCTGTTGTGCAAGGATAGCCTGGGCAGCTCCCCTTTTGTGGGTCTGGGTGGGCCGTGGTGATGCTGGGGGGGCCATCCTGAGCTGTGGGATTTGCCCTGGGAGTGTTAGTCCCTGAGTAAAGAAAACCCTGGCGAAGAGATGCCCATGTCAACATCTCTGTGATGACAGCTTGGAGGAGGAAGGAAGGATTTCTGTGTAGCTTTGGTTGTGGGGATGGTGGTGTGGACAGGTGATATTTGTTCTCCCTTACACAGCCTCTGAAACAGTGCTGGAAGAGCTGTTCCTGGAAACTTTTTTCTGTTATCAGAAACTTTTTTCCCTGCCCACCCAATATGAATGGCTTTTCCTGCGGTGTGCTTCATCAGCAGGTTCCAGTCTTGCTGTGGGTTTCTTTCTCCTGTTACTAGATACCTCTTTTGGGTGACTTTCTTGAGAACTACTGTCTGTAAATAGCCTTGCCCACATGGGAAACCTGTTCCAGTTGCATGCCTAGTATTTTAAGCTTGAGGGATACCATAGTTATATCATTGAACCTTCAAATAAATTGGTTTTCTATAAGCTGAAGCTGTATATAACTCTTAATTTCTTACACTGTATCAAGTGAAATGCTTGGTATTACTAGGTACCTGCTGTGTGATTTAAAACGTACTTTAACTTCCTAGAGGTTGTATTAAACTAAAGCACTTTCTGCACTTTCACTGTCCATGTCTTGAGTGTCAGAAAAATCACTATGTGACAGGGTGTAATCTATCTTCAAATGTGAATCTGATAAAATAAAGATTGTAAAAAGAGAATTGAAAACTAGGACTTAATACATACACTTAATAACAGGGAGAATGTTGGGGATATTGCATGTTAAATATCCTTTTGTTATCTCAACACTAAATGTGGAGAACTGTATCTTTATTATGTATTATATGTAAAAAGATAGGCAGTAGAGCAGTAAGAAGGCTGCAAAAGAAAACAGGCTGTAAAACTTGGAATGCTTGCTCTGCAGGGACTACTGAATGGGAGATACTGAAGTTTATAAAATAGGTAATATAAAATGTTAATCCTTGGCTTTTAAAACGACAAAGATCAGTAGAAATTATTAGAAAGCACCAAGAAACATCTTGGAAAATTTTGGGTGGTTGAGGAGAGATATGTTTAATGTTATGAAAGGCATCATTTTGGAACTGTATTAAAATGCAGGATTCATCTGAGCATCTGTGTTGTTTTTTTTTGGGGGGGGGGGTGTTAAGTATTATTTGATTGCACATGATCTGGTTTGATATGAACAGGGCCAGGGACAGCACAGTGACATACTTTGAAAACTGCTACATAGTCTGTTAAAGATCTAATAGCCTTAAATAGCTTTGGTTTACAGGCTATGGGTTCCAAATCAAAGAACAGTTTCATCGGAAGCTTTCTTCAGCCACCAGATAGGATGCTTCCTGCAGGCTTTGCTTGTATAGAATCACAAAAGTTGGCAGCTGTTGGTGGTGACAGGCCTTCTATCTTCAATAACCAAGGTAAAGCCAAAACATGTCCTTAAAGTGTTCTTTTTAATTGTTTCATGTGAAATCTCTTGAGAAAACTCCCCATTCTGTTTTACTTAGTTCAATGACTTACTGCAATTATCAGACTGACATTGAGACAGGATGTATATGTGTCCTGCGGGAGTAGTCTCCCTGAAGTCATATGTCTGGAATGGAAACTACTGCAAGTCTTCTAACATCCTCATAAACTTTGGCTTTGAAAATTGTTTAACTTAGAGTTGTCAGACTTCCTCTAAAAGCAAAGGAAAATGCTTCAAACTCAGCAGAAAAAAAAAAAAAAAGATCATTCATATGGTAGTTCACTGACTTGAAGTTGGCTTTGTGTAGTGCTATTAGACTCCCTCTAGCTTAAAATCACTTCTAAGGGTATTTGTGTGGTATGACTCCTTGGGAGAGCTTTTGAATGACACAGACTTCCAGGAAAGTTAGCAGCATGAAATGTAGTCTGTATGAAATATGGGTCTGTTATGGTTGTCATGTGCCTTAATGGGTGATTACTCTCTGGAGCTTACCAGAAAATGCTTGGTGGTTTAGCATATCTGGAGAGCTTCATGAATCACAAGGATACCATGCTTGGGTTTGCTGTCATGGACAACTTTGCAGTATTGCACAGCCTATGTGTGTGCATGTGTTCATTGCTCTTCACTTGAAGAAGATGTGACTTACGTAGTAATCTTTTGTCATACAGAGCTTGGGCTTTTTGGATTAAAATGGTCAATTTAATGCTATGCAGCTAAGTGCTTAAGTAAGGAAAAGTTTGGCATGCCAATAGAAAAATGGAAAAAGATCTTTTTGCTCTCTGGTTTCTGCTTTCTTTTTAAAAAAAAAATTAATTATAATGGGGCTATGATAAGCTGATGAGAGTTGTTATGGAGCTAGCAATATTTGCTGGGTATTCCTTTACTGAGAAAATTGGTACTGGGAAACTATTAAGAATTATAAGTCATAAAAGAAGCTTGAGTTGGTATAGTATGTGTCTTAAACTTACGATGGTGTGTGTACCTTTTTGAGAACTAGTAGACTTTTCCCGTAGCTGAAATTGGTTTAAAGAGTCATCAAATACAAGAAACTAGACATTGAATCATTAGCTTTTGAAACAGTAAGCTTTTAAAATGCATCATCTACTAAAATGCTCCTTTGTATCTGATTTCCCCCCTGACCCAAGTCTGTTTTAGTTTTTTCAGTCTGTCCCCACCAGTTGCATTACACCAAAACTTGTGACCTAACTTGGATACCTGTGTTCTCTGTATCTGTGTAAACAGAAGTCCAAGGGTTTGTTACACTCAGTTTGCCACAATATTTTTTGTGCTGCTGTCATTTGGAGTGAAAATAGTTTTGCTCATAGGACCTGTGCTTTACACCTCAGTTATGCAGTAAACATACCCATTTTCTCCCTGTGTTAGTGTACTGCTCTGTATGTGTTAGTGTACTGCTTGGGAATATAATTCATTTTATGAGTGATCCTGGGAAGATCACTCATAAAATGAAGTACTGTTTGCTAGCTCTAGTGGCAGCCATGAAAACTCTTCACGAAAAGATGCACCGTCTACAGTTGGAGAAGTCAAAAGCTGAAGATAATCTGTGCAGCCTCTCCATAGCAGCTGCTCAGTATAAGAAGGCAGTAGAGCATGAATCCTACAAAAAGGACACAGCACATGAAGAACTGATGCAACAGAGGAAAGGTATTTCTCTTGGGTGATAAGGTGTAGCTACAGCAACTCCAAGACTGCATAATCCAGGGAGTGTTTGTTTTGACAGACTTCTAAGTAATGCACTCCCCCCCCTTTTTTTTTTCTTCAGAATTGGGGAGGGGCAAGAACTTGATATCTCAATAAAGCTGAAACATTTTTTTGCATATATTAACCAAGTATTGCATAACCCATAAAGCTATTTTAAACCATAAATAGAGTTCAGGTGGCATGTTTAACTCCTACAATAAGCAGGCAGCTGCTTATGTGTATTACACTGCTAACTTGAGAAAAGTGAGGAGAAGGGAAGAAACCAGATTCTGGTTGGATATCTGCTGATATAAATCAAAGTAACTGCAGTGCTCACACCTTTGGAATCCAAATTAGGAACTAGCTCTGGAAAAACATTTTGATTCTCATCAATATATATAATGTGTTTTAAACACATGACTTGTTCAGACTAACAAAACTTTTCTTGCATATTTTGAAGACAGAGAATTCCTCAATGAGATGACAGACTGGCTAACTGTGTAACTCCCATTGCTGTACTGAGTGTCTTTTGTTTCTCCTCGTAGATATAAGTGTGCAGTTAAATGCAGCACAATCCCGCTGCTCCCTGCTGGAGAAACAGCTGGATTACATGAAGAAAATGGTCTCCAGTGCAGAACTGGAAAATAAAATGGTTTTGGAACAACAGGTGAAGCCCTTTAACATGCTAACAAAGTAGTAATATAGTTTTAAAGTGTAGAAATGTGTAAGATCTGAACTTCTTCCTAGACGTATTTTTTCCTCAGCTCTGATCAGCGTGTTACCAAACAGAAGCAGTTTACTGTCTGACTGGTTGATGACAACCGTTTAATGAATTGTATGAAAAGACTCCCTAGGTGGAACTCCTAATGACCAAAACCATGCTAATACTTGCACATTTGGTAGACAAAAAGGCTGCTGGAAATTTGAGTCTTCTTTGCCTGGTGTTTTTCATCACTTAGCAATTTAAGAAAAATGAAATTTAAACTAGTTAAACACCTTAGGGTAGTGTGTTTGGGTTTTTGCTGCCTGAAACAATTTGAGTCAGCTGCCAACTCCATTATTGCTTACTTTTTTCTAGGCCCAGCTTCAGAAAGAGGAAGATCAGAACCTGTTGAAACTGTATGCAAAACTTGAAAAGCTTGAAATGCTAGAAAAAGAGTGCCTTAAGCTTACTGCTACTCAGAGAATTGCAGAAGTAAGCATGCATGGAATGACAGTCTGAAAGTCATTCATTTGATATAATTTGTATGTCATACTTTTAATAGAACTAAGTTTTGCAAGAGTTTCCTCTGTTAAAGCTAAAGATCATAAAGCATACCTGACTGAATGCCATGCTGGCTTCATTTGCATGAGTATTTTTTCAATCTGGGCTTTAAAAATTCCTACAGTCCTGTTTTATCCCAGATTACAATTGCAACCTACTTCAGACTTCTGATTCAGCATGGCAAACTGAAGTGTGACTAATCATTCTTGCCTTCAAATGCAGGACAAGATCAAACGCTTAGAAGAAACGCTTTGTGAAGAGCATCAGCGTAAGCTAGTACAAGACAAAACTGCTGAGGTAGACTGAAAAGGTTTTATTTTATCTTATTTTTTATGACTGAAGAATTCTATTGTCTGCCTAAAATACCCTTTTTAATTACATTAAATTGAACATGTTTATTACCCAGGCAGAACTCCTGGAATACTACCTAAACTACTTATAAACTACATAGTATAAAGCTTGCTAGGTGAATTGTGTATCCCAGTCAAGAAGGATTATACTTGGTTTTGTATTAATAATACAGTTCATCAGCCTAAAAGCTGTTGTAAGTGATCTAGGTAGAAAATTAGTTTCTAGAGAATCTGCAACTAAATCATGTAACCTTAACTTAGAGTAACTAGAAAGTGGTCATATAAGAAACATTATAACCCAAGCAAGGTTAGTTATTCTGTTTGTTTTCCTCTTTCTGCTCAGATCTGCTGAAATATAATATATTGGACTGTACATGGAAAAGTCTTTAATCAGTGATTCTGTTACATTGTTCATTAAGTGAGAGCTTGAATAATTCATTATTCTGTAAGGCTGTAAACAGTTTGTTGGACCACCATCTGAGAGAGGAATATTTGCCAAAGAAGGCAAAACCTTTGTTAAAGGGACAAAGTAGTAGTATCCCAAAACTCACTTCACTGAGAAGTACCAGCCATTTTAAAAAGAGAGCAGTTGTGGTGGCATTCTCGGAGGTAGAAGGGGATGGTGCAAAGCTGAAGAATTATATTGGAAGAACATAGCCATAAGCAGAGCTGACAGGTTAAATTAATTTGTCACTGTTGTCAGTTTTTATACCTCATCCAAGGATGATGGGCTTTCATCGGTCCAGAAAGCTTGAAATAAATTGCAGATCGTAGCGCAGGTATCTGACCACCTCCAGAATTCAAAAGAATGACATAGCTGAAAACTTGCAGGTTTTGGGCTTCCAGCTTCAGCTGCTTGCTGATGCAGAGCAGGAGGCCTAGCATGGAGATTTTATCTTCTGAGAAATATAGTAAGAATGACTTTCACAGATCAGATAGTCTGACTTGAACAGTAGTATAAACATTTGCTCAAGAAAGGACTTTGGTGTAGTAAACCAAGTCCGAAACTAGTATTAGTACCATCTTAGTTCACTCTAGGATAGATTTTGGTCTGTTGGATCTGGGTTGGGAAACATAGTGTGTTGGATGGTTCACTTCCTTCTGATGACAGAAAAGCCAGAATTACCTCATTTTTGTGATGGACCTCCAGCATTGTTTCGCTGGAACTGTTACACATGCCAAAACAAAGTCCTAGTCCTATGTTTGATTGGGAATAGCCGTTATCCTGTTTATCATGGGACTTTGTGTCAGCTAAACTAGAGAGCAATTTTAGGATTGTCCAGCAGGTTTGACATCAGTGTCACGCAGATGTGCTCAGTTCTCTCTGTCCCTAGGTTGTAAGATCCAAATGTTCATATTATTTGGATTTTATGATCAGATCCCCAGCATGTGGCAGGATTGGCTTATCTCAGTTGGTTGTCACAGTGGAAAAATACAGCTGCTGCAGCTGCATTTAAAATTGAGGCCTTCTAAGATAGAGCAGAAGATCTGCCTGATACCCTGCCACCCTAGTAATCTGTTCAGTTTTTAATGCAAGATCTGCCTGATACCCTGCCATTTTAGTAATCTGTTCAGTTTTTAAGTGTATTTTGTGTCTTCTTAGCAGGGCAGTTAATAGTGCCCTTAACTGGTTCTTATCATCTCATCCATGAGAACCTTAATTGGTTCTCATCTGTGAAAGAGGGAATTAATTAAACCATGTGGTTTCATACTTCTAATATTATATTTTTCCTTTGTTGCTTATTCCCACAGCTCCAAACAGGATTTGAGATGAACAGAATTTTGTTGTCTTCAGTGACATCTCAAAATGAACCTAAAAAGGAAAACATGAAGAAGAAAAAAATTAAGAAGGTGACATGGAAGTTTTTTTTACCATACTGTTGCTGATAGTATCTGACTCATACAGATATTGGAGTTTGTGAAAAATGCTGATGTAAGAGGCACTTGGTGTGTTTGCTGCACTTTACTCCATTTCCAAAGGAAAACAGTGCTGAATACCTCTTTGGTTTTGTTTGGTTGTTTTTTCCCTTTGATAATTAAGATGGTCCTAGGGCTGGTAGGTAGCACCTCACTGGAAAACTTTGCCTTACCAGAATGACAGTAACCTCTGTTACACTCTCAGATGGCCACCCCCATGTCCTGTCTTGGCTACCTTTCAGTTTATCTGGCAAGATTAGTTTCCAAAGCAATTTTAACTAGGCATCTTAAGATGGTATGTTTTGAGAGGATTGCTGAAGTCAAGAGCATTCATTTTGTAACACATGTTACAAGTCAGTCAAAATTTTGCAACTGTGGTTTTGCAAAATTAAGTAAGCAATGTTCAATTTCTTTTATGTCAACCTAATCGTCAAAATATCTGCTAAATGCATCTGGAGTAAAGTTTTCTTGTCTTGGCTGTTGAAAAGTACTACTCTTTCCACTTACAGGTGGGAAATTATTCTTTAAACCAGAGGGAAACAAAGGTGATACATTTCACTGCTTGTTTATTTGAATTTTACTTACTAGGGGAAAGAAAAAAAGAAAAAAAGTTCAAGCTGTTTGGTCAGCAGTTTGGAATTTCTTGTGTTACTTTTTCTATCTTATGGCAGAGAAATCCTACAGTGAAGAAAATGCACCTTTCACAATTACATGTAAGGGCTGGTGAACTACCTTTTGTAGCTGGGAAGGTGAGTGAAACCAAATCTCGCTAAATTAGCACCTGCAGTTTGAATAAGTCACTTTACTGTAATTGTTAATCACTTATGCAAACCTAATAATTCTGCTTTAAGTCTGTCAGCTCCAGCCATTCTGTTAGTGCAAACGTTCAAAGTGTGTTGCACATTATGAAGTATCACAATCCATGTATCTCATCACGAAGCCAAGGAGGAGCTACATCTGGGATTTCAGGACACACAGCCCTTTCAGAATCTGTATCCTCTTGTTCCACATCACCTATTGCCACCAGAAGCCTTTCTGACCTTCTGTTGGCCATGCAAGATGAGCTGGGCCAAATGAGCTTGTGAGTACTCATCCCTAATGTTATGAGTAAAAGTGACTTCAGTGGTAGCCCTGTGAAGCTACAGGTGTGTGTCGTGGTTTAAGCCCAGCCGTAAATCAGACTACGCAGTCTCTCTCTCACTCCCCCCCTTCCCCCCACCCCTGCTCCCGGAGGGATGGGGAGGAGAATCAAAAGAATGTAACTCCCATGGGTTGAGATAAGAACAGCCCAGTAACTAAGGTATAACACAAACCACTGCTGCTGCCACCAGTGATAATAATGATAAGGGAAATAACAAGGGAAGAGAATACAACCGCTCAGCACCCGCCGACCAGTACCCAGCCCGACCCTGGCAGTGATCTAACCCTTCCAGGTAACTGCCCCCAGTTCTACATCCTGGGCATGACGTGCTGTGGTATGGAATACCTCTTTGGCTAGTTTGGGTCAGGTGTCCTGTCTCTGCTTCCTCCCAGCTTCGCCTCCTCCCTGGCAGAGCGTGAGACTCACAAAGTCCTTAGTCAGACTAAACATGACTTAGCAACAATTAAAAACATTGGTGTTATCAGCGCTGTTCCCAGGCTGAAAGTCAAAACCACAGCACTGCATCAGCTACTAAGAAGGAGAAAAATGACTGCTACTGCTGAACCCAGGACAGTGTGCTATAATTGAACCTGGCCTGTTTTAAGTATAGGACTACTTGTTGACAGAGTGGCCTGAGCAGCCCTGACTGGTAGGATTTTTCTCATTCAAAAAATTCTTTCTTTCCTGGTGTTTAACTGATCCTGTGAGCAAGCGACACGCTCTTCAGCTGGGTTTTTCTGCTTCCACATCCTGTACTTAACCAAGCCATTACTGATGTAACAGCTGCAGCAAACGAAAAGTCTTTCAAGCTTGTGCTTTTCAGAAATTTTGAACATATTCTGAGACCTACGGAGTTGACCAAGAATGTTTTCCTGGAGAAGGTTGCAAAGGTGATGTTAACATTGAGTAGGCCTGCAGCATGCAGTCAGTCTGGGTGGTAGAATAGGTTAGTTCAGCTGTGGCAGGATGAGGCTTGTTACACAACGTGTATCACACAGTATCACAGTATGCCAGAGACTGGAAGGGACCTCAAAAGATCATCTAGTCCAATCCCCCTGCTGGAGCAGGAACACCTAGATAAGGTTACACCTAGTGTAGGCTACTCCTTTGTACTCACTCTTTCTGTATTCTCTCCAGATGTGGGTACCTGATGGGTTTTTGTTGATGAGACAGTCTGACGTTCATACTCTTTCCTTCTTGATAGCAGAAGAACTTGCCAGTCCTGTAAGGGGGTTGTGGAAGAAGAACACTCTCCTGCCAGAAAATGGGCAGGGTGTGGAAGAAGCTTACTCATTAGATGGGAGTGTATACATCTTTCTAGCCATAGAAGTAAATGTGGATTACAACAGCATCTTCTGAGGCATTTTCTTAGGCATCTTCCCATTAATGCAGGCTTGTAGGCCAAAGCTATATAGCTGGTCATAGGAGACATGTCAACATTATGAGCTGTGGTTTGAACAGAGGAGGATGTGTTGGTTAAACCAGTTAGAGTGTCCACACTGATTTGAAGTCCTTGAGGTGGCAAAATTTAAACTGGCAACCAATCTTTTCTTCAAAAAGCGATGTTCAGCTTACTCATGGTAACACAAGGACAGGCATTATGGTTTTTATTGCAACAACCAGTTGCTTCAATTAACCTGTCAAGGAGCAGCACTTAACTCAGAAAGCAGAAAAGAAGCTGTGACCTTTATAAAAAGATTATCTAAAGGAGTATCTCTGTTTTTTACTACTTCAAACATCTAGGTATCATGGATATAATTGTGTATACACAATTTCTTTTAATTAAGCTGGTTAATTAAGCTGATTAAATTAATTAACCAGCACACTTCACTGCAAATCTTTTTGAGAAGAATATTTTGATTTGAATAATCTGTCAGGAAAAACTATAATTTAAATGTACTAGTTTAAACAATACTTTTCTGTATTAAATTAAGCTTTCGAAGTCTGGACTAAATTGGACAGGAAGTGAAAATACCATACTGCATAGCTGTTGTTCACTTTCCAAATTCTCATTTTGCATACTGTTTCACATGTAGTTATTTTGGCTTGGCAAGAGGGAGGAATAAGATGCACATCAGCTACAAATGTGGAATAAGCAAACTAGTGGAAAAACTTTTCCTTTTCTGGTGTGAATATATTCCACATTAATGTGTATTGTATGAGAGGGTACATCATGCTAAATTGATGTACTTTGGAGAAAATGGCTAGCAACTCCTGGAATACACTGAAAATATTGGAAGAAGTCTCAGAGACCATATCATGAATACTTTGTGTGCTATTCTTGTCTTTAATAGTGAGCATCAAGAACTTCTGAAGCAGATACAGGAGACTCAAGACTCCAAAGTTCGTCAACACCTAGAACAGGAGCTGGATTGCCTTGTAAAACAAATGGAGATTAAAGGAAAACAAATATTCAAGCTGAAAAAGCATGAGGCTACTGTAAGAATAAAATATAAACTCTGGGTAGTAATACACTAGTAATACAGTAGTGCTGCAATTTTGCCTCCTGTTGTCATTAACTAGAGTGTCACTGAAATGCTTAAGCCAGGGTGTTCAGTATGTGTGTTTATAATTAGGCAGCTAGCTCAGTGTTCTTGTATCTCCAATTCCTTCTTTTGATCAAGAAAAAATGCTTACAGCTGGCAGCGAGGAATATATGCCAGAGGGAAAGATTTCTGCCCTGTGTCAGTTCTGTCAGGGTTGCTCAGTCTGTGAGTTCTGCTCACTGCATTAAGATAAAATGTTGAGATTTCATTCCTTTGTCTCATGTCACTTTGGGGAATGAGAAAATAGAAGCTATAGGTCCCATACAAACTGTATTAAATGTCTTTTATATTACTGAAATAATGAAGCTTTTTATTAACCAAATAGTCTGTTGACCACAGCTACTCCAAAATCATAGCCAGACAAGTCTTCCAGTTTTAACTCCTAATCTGTATGTGTTCTATCAATATGTGTTTTAGAGCCATAGAGACATAAAGTCATAGAGCTTTTCATGCATGCCCATATAAAATCACACTTCTGTAGATGAACAGCTCAAACCCTTTTGTAGCAATTTGGTGTGGAACGTATGATAAAAATGCAATCCCTAGTTCTGGCTGACAGTTTTCTGTTCTTCCATCTTATGTTTCCAGATAAACAGACTCACCTAAGAACTTTGCTTATACAGGAAACAAAACAAAACTCAGAGTGAGACCTTAGAAAAGGGAGAGGTGATAGTTAATTTAAATCTGACCAGTTTTATTCACATTCATTCTGTGATAGATTTTACTTACTCAAATCTTTTACTGTCCACATAACTGCAAGAACAGACATGTTAAAGTAGAATTGTCAGAATTGCATGTTAGCAATATGGACCAAGAACACTGACTGTTGCATCTTCACTACCTCTCTTGGCAATATCAACTGTTTTTTTGACAAATCTTTGGTATTCTTGAGGAACCAACAATTATGGTGTTATTCCTTGCCTCAGAATCTTTCTGATTTCATCCTCCAGGAACCTTAGACAATGGACAAACAACTGCACCTTTGTTTATTCCTTTTGTATATCTTCATGGCTACAGTCTGCCTTCCTTTTCAAATGATGAAAAGAGGAATAGCACATAAAACGTGGTGCAGCCTTGTTGTCATCCTTGCCTATTATCAGCCTGCAGATCTGCTGGCAAGTTATCTTTGCCCTTGTCAGACCATACACCTTACGGTCATGATGTAAATAGCACATTCTTTGTCTTTGTCTGATTATTGTTCATCATGCCTGGTTATCGATTCATATTTCAGCTTTTAGAAGCTGTCGCACTAAAAATGCCATAGTCATCTCTGTGTTTCACAGTTAATAATATGTTCTAGAATGCAATACAAGTTAATTATTTTTAGAAATTTACTTTAAGCACAAATTGGCATGTGGAATGCTTCCAGCCTAATTTTATCCTTGGGAGTGACCTTTTTATGCCAAGTGCAAGTCAAGACGTATTATCTGTCATTAAAAAAACATTCTTCATCAATCAACTCTGTTTATTTTGTTTTCCAGTTTTGTTATGAGGCTTTGAAGTAGGCTGCTTAGATACAGTAACCAGTAACAAACAGTGTACATTTTATAGGTTGGTTGGGGAAGAGGTTGGTTAGGGTTGTACAATCTGAAATGGAAAAAGACCATTGTAAATATAAATTGTTGACCGATGAAGTTCCATCTCTCTCAAGCAAGCATTTTTACCTTAGGGAGTTCAACAATCTATTAAGTGTGGGTGAGGTCAGTTTTCTGTAGTGCTTTCTGTTACAGGGAGACAACTGTGTGCAAGATTAGTAGGTTTCAATTTTCTTTTTTTTAATATTCCTTAGACATCTTTAGTTTGGAGTTTAGAAGTTCAGTAAATTCTACAGCTGTAGGTCTTCTGAGTATGTAATATTCTGATCAGTAATCTTTCTTCCTAGGTGCAGAAATTAAAGAGAGAAACTCAGAAATTGAAGCAAGGGGCAGCTCAGGTCAAACTGAAGTGTCCTGGGCAGAAAAGCAGAAGCTCTCTTCAGCTGCTAAAAAATGTACAGAAACTTCAGTCAAAACTGAAAAAAGATGGTATCATGTAGTAACAATAGTTTTGAAGTTTACTGTGGTTTAAGTTTTTAATTTCACAAAACACCTTTAAAAAATGAAATAGATATAGCGTAGATATAGATACACATTCCAAACTGCCTACTCACTAACAGGCCAGTTTGTTCACCTCAGAATTAACTTTCATGCAGAGTAGCTATAACTCAACTACACTGACTTGTAATAAAAGTGTTTTAATGGATTAATGAAATGCTTACTTGTTAACTTGTATAATAAAATTTTATACTTTTTTTACACTTAGAATAGTATGCCATCTTTGGTGTCTCATTCCCATGCTGCCAAGGGGATACTCAGAGCTCACTTTTTGAGAATGACTTGGGCTACTGATTCTGTTCAAATAAAAACAGTAGTTTTCCTTTTCCCTAAAAAATGAAGATTCAGATCATTGCAACTGAGGCAGAAGAAGAGGTATTGTCTCTTATTTATATATATTTTCATTATAATTAACGTTATTACTCTGTAAATGTTATTGACAGTTTTAGGGACAGGTAGAGACTGGCATTCCATGACTTGGTTAAATCATAAAAACATGACAGTGTTCTTGATAAGAGCATGGAAGGGGCCACAACCAAAAGCTTGGGTGCTTGTCTTCAGAACCTGTTTCTATCACAATAGAAAATAATTGAGCTGTCACAAAGGAGACCTTGAACTTCTACCAGTACATGTTTTGGAATCTACATACTTAATATAAATGCCAGACGAATTTTTATGCAAATGATGAGTCTGCTCGTTTCCATTCCCCTCTATGTACGTATGGTAAAAGACATAACAGTGACTTCAAATCAACACTGGTTATTTAGTTGCAGTAAATTTTTGTCTTGAGGCTACTGACTGGCACTGATTTTCCTGGGTGTTTGCATATGTGAGAAAAAAATAGCTTCTTGGGGATATGAGTGAAGTTCTGCTGCAAGAACAAGAGAGAGAATGTGGTGGTAAGAATAAAAATTGAGTCATGCTCTGTTACCAAGGTTTTGAATAAAGGCTAGTAACGATTTATGGACCTAATGGGCAATTGGGCCTTTGGATAGGTAAGTTTTGCTCTGCCACCTTTCAAGACAAAGGATGAAAAAAAGAATAAAATCAGAAAATTAATTCAAATTTAGAATAGACTGTTACAGTCTTTGACAGGAGTTGGTTTTGTGAGCATTCAGGGGTGAGGGGTGGAGTTTATATGCCCTAAGCATCTTCAGCAGAACTGTGGAAGACCATGTTGTTCAGCTGATACTTAGGGATGTGTTTCCTTCACCTTGTGAAATTGTATAGACATCCTTCTTACTTATGGATTATCTCTGGCGGAGAAGAGCATATTTTATGCTTTAAAGCGCTTAAACACAGTTCTGTGAATGGTATTTTCCTGGTATAGATAGCATTTCTAAGGTAGGTTTACACATTTCTGGACACTGGAATCACTGATACCAGGGACAAAAGAAAAGTAAGCATTTCTGCTATTAACATTTTCAGATTGTAGGTATTCTGCTGCCACGAGATAAGCCTTTGCAATTCCAAGGCGTGGTTAAAGAATCTCTGAACCTCTGTGCCTGTGTGTGAGAGAGCGAGCAAGAAGGGCCTTACCGAGCCCTAAGGAGCATAAAACATATTTCATCCAGAGGTCCATCCTTCATCAGGCATTGGACTGAGAGAGAAAAATTGCCAGCAATTTGCCCCAAATGCATAAAACCAGGTGGAATGACTTTGTGTGGGGGCAGTGGCAGGAGTGAGAGCAAGAAGTGCATCTGGCTTGTAGCTATGCAACTTCTGTAGGTTGGGTTTGCTATAGGGACAGCTGGGCCGGGCCTGTCAGGGAGCTGGCACGTCAATCACCTGCTCCTTCTATGCTTTGACCTATTTGGTTGGGTTTTTCTTGTTGACTATAGAAACTCAGGGAGAAGAGGCCATTTTGGAGCTAGAGCTGGAGAAGGAGGGCCCTGGTTTCCCTCTTGGACAAGGGGCTGTGGTGGAAGGCAAACAGCTTTGGGTTGGTCAACCAGGTACCGGATGGGGAAGTGCTTAAATGATGGAAGCACTGAGTAGTCTACTCTTCAAAATGTGTATGCTGACAGCGACTGTCCAGTCCCAGAATAAAACTGCTGTTTGCCTTTCTGTGGGGCAAGTTGCTGGAGGGAAAGAGAAAGAGCTGGATCTGGGCCTGTCTGCAGGTGGGCATTTTGCATCTTTGCCTGCTTTGGAGTGGGATGGGGAGCTGAAAAAGCTGGGTTGCTCAGAGCCAAAAGCTGTGATTTGAGAGGGAAAAATATGAATGAATGATACGTGAGCTCACAGAAACTGACGGGCACATCACTTGTATTTCAATTTGGAAGGTTTCACTGTATTTTGATAATTCTCTTGTGCTTTTTTTCCTGGAGCTTGTCTTTCTTTAGCGCATGTGTTTTTAAACACTAAAGCAGATGCACTTCGGCATGGGCTGAGAGAGTCAAACTGGATACAGAGGAAGTGCATCCCAAACAAGTTTTCTTGCTTGAAGAAGCACAGAAAATCTGTTTTCAGATTGTATGTTGGGTGTGTGAGGCGCAGGGTAGGAGATCAGCTTGTGTATGTATGTATGTATTTATTTATTCATTTATTGGAATATTCATTGTTTGAAGCAATTGTCAATCACATAAAGTAAGTCTTCAAAGGAATACACAGCAATCAATAATTCTGCAGAAACCTCAGTGATGAATTTAAGCTTGTGCACAAGTGTTGGCAAAGTTCAGCTCCACAGGAATTAGGCAGGCACATCACAGTGAGTTTTGCTGAGATCTGCTTCACGTCTTATGCTCCAAAAAAGTTTTGTCCTGGAACTGCATAAATGTACATTTGGAGAAAGCACAGTGGGTAAAGGAGGCTTCTTCACAAGAACAGTATGTTTTGGCTTAATAAGTGCTTGCTCTGCTCTTTTACAGATCCTCATTTTGATTTATATCCTGCATGATTTTGTTTGTCTTTTCAGATGAAACCGCATAGTTCTTTTTTTTCTTTTCTTGTCTTTTTTTTTTTTTTAATGAATATTTTGAATCTAGCTATACAGGACAGTGGTCAAAAACACACAGTGATTCCAAAAAAAGACTAATTGGTTTATTTACTGAAAATCCAGGTGCTTTCATGCTCTCATGCAAAATTGCCACAACAGGTTTTGTTAGAACTTGAATCTAGGGTCATATTTTATGGCTAGACAGTAAGAAAATTGGACAAAATAGGTAGGTCAAACAGTACAATTAAAAATACAGACCAGCAAATTGTATCCAATAATAGTTCACTTTTCTGCTGCTAATCAAATATGCTAGCACAAATTAATGGCTTGTTACTTAAGCATGCTTGAAAGACTTTGTTCTAGTACAAAAGGCATTCAGTTTGAGAGTGTGTTACAATCTTCTAACCAGCAAAGCTGGAGGTTGGACAGAGCTATAAATCCAGTGTGTTCTGGGAATAGAAGCTGGCAAAAACACTCCCAGCAAAATAATCAGAGCAGGATCTTGCTGAGATTTGGACATTGGCTAACGTAACTAAGTGCAGATGTTTGTGTGGACTGAAAGACATTCTCAGAATTAAGAGTCCTGTACAAACACATGGTGATTTTTATAGCAGAAAAAAAAACAAGGAAGTGGGGATAATAAAACTTATGCTCATATTTCTGATAAAGCATTTTGTTTTCTTCAGCTTGCCTTTACTGATGTGGTCAAGGTTACCTGTGCCACATCCTCGGCCGAGATCTGTTGAAGCTTCTGTGAGTCGCTTGGGTTGTGGCTCTGGTGCTTACCTGAAGGTCTCCATGGGTTCTCGGTGTGGGTACCATAGTCTCTCTTCCATCAGCGGAAAGGAGTAAGCATTTCTGAAAGTGTTAGCCTGAGGTAACAGCTAAAACAGGTCAGGTGAATCTTATCCTAAATGCCTGGTTTTCTCTACCAAATACAAAGGGAGTCCGGGGATACTGGTGAGCTTGAATGAATATATCTATACTGTACAAAGAGTTTGGCCGGACGAATTCTGAAGAAATGTGGCTCTGAAGAAATCTCGCCTCTGATTTCTGGGAATCCTGAGTTAGCTCTTCAAAATCTTCTGAGGTATTGGGTAAGTCCTGGGCTGCTGACAGCCTGGCAATCCTGTGCACCGCCCTGCGTGCAACCATTTTTCCTCCTGTTTTTCTGCTGGCTTCTCATGCTTACTGTAAATTCCCTGTGATGAGTAGTCTGACTGATCCAAAACTAGAATATTGGGGTTTCGGTGCTGTATGGTTCAGGAAGACATAGACTACTATAGGATTTTATTTTGCTCATACTTGAGATGACTTCTGTTTGTAATTTGGATTTATTTATGGGCAGCTTTACTCTTTTGCCAAAAGTTTTGCTCTATACCCACAAATAGTAATTTATATTCCCACTGCATCATTCTGCTACCCTAAGTTTACTTCTTTGTCCTCAAAAAGCTAAGTAATTGCCATTAGTTTTACAGCCATATCTGAATTATTTTAATCCCTACTCCACTGCCTGCATAGTGACATAATTTCTTTTCTCTTGGTTTCTTCTTATTTATAGAACTAAAAAAACTGCCTGCTCTTTATTTTCCTCAACAATTTTTAATTTACTTGGTGCTTCTTGTTTTAATTCTGGGCTTCCTGGCCTTCTGGTTTCATTTTTTTTTTTCCCTCTTTTTGTTTTGTTTTTTTTTTTTCCTGCTGTGGTTCTCTGCCTACTCTTGATGACTTTTTGGTTGGCTCCAGAATCCTCACTTCCAGCATCTTCCCCCTGCTTTTATTTTGAGGGTAAGTAAGTTCCAGCTCGCTTTTTATCATCGATTTAAAGATTCTCCAGATTTGTCAGTGTTAAAATCCTTGAGGTATTAGTTACATTTGACTTTTCTAATTACTTTTATTAATTTCCCTAAATTAGGGCCTTCTGGATGTTAACACTTTACATTCAGGTCTGGTTTTGTTCTTCCATTCTAACCCAGATTATAATCACTTCTCTAATATTCTCACCACTTACCAAAACTGAAATATCACTTAGGTTAAGTAACTAATTGTGCAGCAGAGCAGACTTTTTTTTTCTAGTACTAATCTAGTAAAAATGTTTAGCTTCATTCTCCAAAGTAAGTAAATCTAGTGCACATAGATTCCCTTTGACCTTTGAATGGGGCTAGCCATTCATAAATGTCAATTCGTTAAAATACCAGACTATCCTATTACCTTTACCATAAATTTGGCTTTTCCAAATCATTCCATATCCTGCTGCCAAGGTGTGGTTGGT